GAAAAGCACCGGTCTTCCGGTCCGTGGATGCAAATGGCGAAGTTACGCCACTATGGGAAGATCGTGCTCGGGATAATCTATCGACCCTTGACAATTGGCTGTCTTTTCATCCTTGTCGCTATAAACGTCCTCCCGCCTACTAACTGGTATTCTTGGAGGTTTGCATATTCACGAGATCACTTATCTTTGATGGGGTTTTGGGAAGGAGAGGGGGGATGGGGCTCGCGGAGGAGTATTTGGACTATAGATCCAGACCCCAGAACCAAACGAGGGCATTGATTACCGCTGGAATTTGTTCTTGAACGATGAACGATAAAGTTTACGTAAAAATGGGAATATCTTGCGTGGGAGCCATTGAAAAACATTTTTCTTATTTCATATTTAGTTTAAAAAGTGATATACAGTACCCGAGTATGAAGAAATTATAAAGCACAATTGTAAATTATGTGAAGTCGTTGGCGAAGATGCATTAAAGTCACATCCATTTCGTTGTGAATATTGAATCACAATATCGAATCTCGATACGATCGGATAGTCGTAATTTTTGTTCTTTTTTAATGGAACAAAGCAAAAGTCCTATAAATAAGAAGAATCGAAGAGTCAATGTCCTTCGTGGCGTATGTCATTAAATTAAAGAAGCAGAAACAAGAAAATTATTAAGCATTATATTGTTTCGTAAGTACAAAATAATTATGTGAGAGATCTTATTTTGTACACTGATTCTTATAATATAACATGGTAAACTAACAAATATAATAAATTCAAATATCAACAGCCAAGTTAAATTTGCAGTATACATATTGATTTATCTAATGAAAATAGCATTCTGTGTAGCAAAAGTTCAATTACTTGGGATGCTAAACTACGCAAATCGGAAAACCACGTATAAGAATAGCAAAACCTTCATTTATCTTTAAATTCTTACAAGAGGAAAACTAAAACTATGTTAAGAAATTAATCGGAACCAAAGATGAAAATAATATTATGTAGAAACGTGATTATCCCCTTTTCCTACTATCCGCAAATACTTGCAAATCATAAAAATTTACGGAAATTAATTTCTCGTTTGTGTTGGTAAATATACGTGCATCAAAGAATCGATCGATATTGATCATGTAGATCATTTGAATAAACAAAACAAAAACTTGTCTTCTTTATTTTGTCTCGTTCCCCATAATCTGTCTTAAATGTTTACGCGCGAACCCACTATAATCGCGATACACGTAATTTAATTTTGTTCATTTTCGTGAATTCATTAACTATCAAATTAACCTATTAACTTTGCACAATTACTTTAGGACTCTTAAGAATATTAGAATATTAGTGCATTAAATGTGCTGTAATTAATATATCAATGCATATGCAGTAAAAATTATCCCCGCGATATATTTGAATACTAATGATATCCACAATAAACAGAATTGAAAAATCATTTTAAAAATCTCTTACTCATATTTGTTTCTCTCTCTCTCTCTCTCCCTCTATCTCCCTCTCTCTCTCTCTCTCTCTCTCTCTCTCTCTCTCTCTCTCTCTCTCTTTGTGCGTGTGCTTTTGTGCGTGCGTGCGTGCGAATGTGTGTGCTTTTGTGCGTGCGTGCGTGCGTGTGTGCGTGTTTGTGTATGTGTGCGTGTGCCGATACCACTAAAAACATTGATTCAATTTCAATTTCAACTTAAAGTGCCACATTGAAGGTCAATCGTCTTAGGGTTTTCATGAAAATCAATTTTTTATTAACTTTTGATAATTTTCATTACATTCATATTGGAATAAATCAGAAAAATTCTTTCGTCATACATTCTATTCCAATTGATACATTATATCATTGTGTATTGTATTGCATCAAATATCCATTGCAAAAATCTTGTAAAAATCGACTTCTTCGACTATCGTATTGTACAGTGTATATGGATTTAAAATGTTCAAACTCGCTTAAAAAAATTATATTTATAGACGGAAAAATTCGTCACCTGTTAAATGTTTAAATACATATATGATATCTGAATTTAATTACATTTTTTCACTTAAATAATTATAATATAAAGATATTTATTATAAATAATCATAATAATCATTGATTTAAAATAATGTATATTTCGTAAGATTGTGAAGATGATTTACAAAAGAAATTTCTACGAAAATTTAGCAAGTGAGTCCTTCACATATCAACAATTGTAATAAAAATTATAACCTAAATACGAAAAAGCTTTAACAATAGAAATTCAAAAGCGTGAAATTGCGTTCACTAATAAGGTAAGCATTAAGCTCAAATACCAAAAATTAAGTTAAATTAAATACTGTATCAATACTATTTTATCTAATGAAAATGTAATTGTTTCCACTAAGAGTTCGATTATTCCAAACACTAATAATATACTGTTAATAATAATAATACTAATAATAACTACTAATAATAATAAAATACTAATAATAACTACTAATAATACAAACACTGTTCTATATAAAAATAGAAAAAATCTTTATCCAACTGTCTGGAAATTAAGGGAAAATCAATAATTAGGGAAATTCGAGTAGAGTCAAATTGAATTCGAATGCTTGAAAGTTAAAATGTAAGAAAATCATTGAAATGTTATTTTGTCAAATGACTCTCAACGTTAATTAAACTTATATTGAAATAAGGAATAACTTGTATATAATTAAATAAGGTATCGAAATTACTATTTTACAATCATTACTATTTATATTAATGATAATATGATTTGAAATAAATTCCCATAGCCTAATAGTATGAAAAATATTTCCAAATCATTGCTTAATCACTCCCGTATAATAAAATTGTCGATCCATTAACTTACTAAGACTAAAGCATGTAATTACAACTCAAATTTAACTCATTTATATGTTCGAAAATCATTATTCAATTAAATAATTGGATTAAAAATATAAAACTGATTAATTCAATTAAATGAAACACACACGCCAACTTACCGGTGCAATTAGGAAAACCAGGCAACTTGTAAGTAATGTCCTTATCGGTTTCCCAAGGTAAGGTGCAGTTGAAATTGAACTGCCAGAACTCGTTGAACCAAGGGTTACGCGAGTTATTGTAGGGGTGGAGGGAGAGGTAGTAGTTGTCAAAATCGGTCACATAGGGAGAGTGAATGCGTATGGAAAGGCTGCCCCAGGCCTCGCTTTCCAGGTCGTGGACGACGTCATCGCGGTCAGCCCAGCCATCGCTAGAAGTAAAACGTTAAAAAATCAAGACGCTATTCATTCGTGCTGAAACCTTGGAATTTTATTTACAACAAATTTCCAACAATTCGCAGTTGAAATTCAAAGAGCAAAGACGCATACATAAGAATTAAGAATTAGGTAATAATTAATAAATCGTTACTCAATTGCATTTTTATCATCTATTAATTTAGCTAGACAACGAGGATATTTTAAAGATTTAGTGAAAAATTAAAATCATATATTGTGGTGAATTTTAAAATATTAAAATAATGTTTGATACATTTATAATTTTGAATTGTAAATTAAATTTCTCTTGCAAATGAGTTATATTTTTAAAGCGAAAAATTTACATAAATTCAATAATTAATTTTATTACAAAAGAAATACCATATGAATAAATCAAGCGCATAAAAAGTAATTTTATAACGTTATAAATTATATCGTTAATAATATTTAACGATTATCTTTATTGTATTAAATGAAATATTTTTTCCATTTTTCAATTTTAATTTCAATTTGAGAAGCAATTAAATTATAATGTGTATGAGGTTATTCTAGTTTAAAATTTTATTAAAATTAATCAAATTACTTTTTTCTCTACCGAAATCTGAGATAACACTTGTATAACGCCTATACCTGTGTTTTACATAGGCATATAAAAGAAATGAAAAGAAAAGAAAAGAAAAGAAAAAAGAAAATAGACAAAAGGCCATTTCTTGACATGCCCGCTTCCGTCGCATATTTATAAATATTATTATAAAGGTAATAATAGTTTTTTCTTTTTTAAATATAAAATCTAATGATATTTGAAACTCCAGTTTAAAATTATTTTTAAATCTTGTGTAAATTTATTCAATACAGTCCAAATATTTCAGACAATAAATAAATAAACATTGATTTTTAACATTCTCATGTACACATGTAAAATTAGAAATACTTGTTATAATTTATCTATCATATTTATTATTAAACCTTCCAATTTCCCGCTTTTATTTTTTAATTCTTCGATACAGAATCGTACATGTATACGCAATACGAATACCATATCTAATATATTAATTAATATCTTCATATAATATTACTTGAGGACATTTATTTCCATATTTCATGCCTTACTTCGCATTATATTCGCTCAACGTATAATTAATTAGGAAGTACAATCATTTAAAAATTAAACCACCAAAATATAGTTATACTTCTAAAATTTTCATCTAAAATATAATTACTATAAATTGTATTGTTTAAAAAAAAAAATATATATATATATATTTTTATAATATTCGGATTGCTAATAGATTACGAACAGTAATTCAAATATTTTATGTGTTAAATATATGTTAATAATTACATTAATTTTTTAATTGTCTTTAAAAAAATAAATAAATATATATATATATATATATATATATATATATATATATAAATAAATTAAAATTTGTTTATAGTTATGGGCATAATCATAAATAATTATTAAGTATGATCGTTTTATGTGTAATCGAATATCAGATTTTGTACGAGAAAAATCGAATTGGACAATTTGAATAATCGCATTTATTTTGTATCAGGAAACTTTTTCACCAATTAGGTAAAAATCTAATACTGTAGCAGAATATTTAATCATCTCCATATATGAGCATAGCTACTTACAATATATATATATATATATATATATACTATTTTGTTACTAAATAATAGTTGTTCATTATTTCAAATAAATTATCTATAATTATAAATATAAATTTAGCAATGACTTTTCTTTAAACATTAATTAATTAGAATACATTTACATTTATATGAATACATTTTATTAATAACATTAGTTAAAAATATTATTATCTGAAAAAGATTATAATATCTTGTATATAACTTTAAAAGAAAAAGAAAAATTCTTCATTGTGAAATGCTATTTTTTTTTAATTTCAAAATCTTTGCGATTCAAAACTTTTCATTTTATTAATAAAAAAAAAAAAGAAACTTTCTAACAAATCCACTCTACGCATTAAAAGTAGCGCTTTAGAGTTGAACATTTTAATATAAATTAGTTAAAGTGAGAATATATGTTATACATACCCATATATGTGATTGAAAAAGTGATAGTACTTTCATTAATTAGACAACTTTTTATAGATTTCTATAGAGATATAAAATATCAGCATATTATGTTATTGTTTTGATTGTGTAAGTTTCCTAGTCGTACACAAGGTACATTCTTCGAGCTTTTACAGTGTTTTTCATTTTTGGTCTTTTGAAAGACTGGCTGGTAGTATTTCTAGTTCGTACTTCACTTTTTTCGCGAGCCATCAGAAAGCAAGAAGATAAAGAGGAGAAAGTCTGTCATGACGTTCTCAGCTTTTTTATTCACCGGTAAGAGCTAAAGGCATAAATCGAATCGTATATTCTTTTCGTCTTAGAGCCGTATGGGCAAAGAATTTGTAATTCTAAAATTTATTTAAAAGCACCTTGAGCGCGAAATGTATAATTTTTTCAAGGAAACCCACTATTTTATAAATAGTCGAAAAGCATATGTACATTCTGTCTCTCTCTCTCTCTCTCTCTCTCTCTCTCTCTCTCTCTAAAACTCTTTAACAATTCAAGTTTTTCAATAAAATCTACGGTAATTTATTCGATTATTATAATCGCAATATTGTCACTTATTGTAAATGTTGATTCTTAACAAAGTGTTTATCTAAATAATTGGCATATTTTTAAAATATGAACATTTTTAGATTTATATAACTTATTAACTAGCTATGATAAATTCGCCGATTTTATAAAACTTCCAGAGGGTTTGTTCACTTTATACGTAGGAAACGAGGAGTAGATGATGCCGAAGCCCCGGGGCGCGGCGTCGACTTCGCAAGAGCAAATGAATGCAGCGAGTTTCGTGATGGTGTACGATGAGACGACGACGATTAATATACGCCGCTACGTGTGCGCGCATACGTGTGAGAGGGTAGAGAAAACAGATAAGGTCGAAAGGAAGAGAGAGAGAGAAAGAGAGAGAGAGAGAGAGAGAGAGAGAGAGAGAGAGAGAGAGAGAGAGAGACTGATATATAAATGTGTACAAACAAACCCCTTGAAACGGATGCTTTCACAAACGAATTCACTTTCAATTATTCTAACCATTTGACCTCCGCACATTCATCACTTTTCTTCTTTGTCTCCATTCATAACGTATGCTCCGGCTTCCACTTGTAAATGATGCATCCTGCTTATTCCGCCTCTGTCGATCATATTTCTTTTTTACCCTTGGAAAATGCGGTTATCTAACCTCCTGTCGGCCCCGACTGAGCTCAATTAGACGGAAATTATATATAATTATCCATAGAATAATATAATCAAATCGTAATGTCAGACAAATAATTGTAATATTTGACAAAGATCGTGCTAATGGAATTTTATAAATCGTTATTCTTATCCAATTAAAACTCACTTATATTTGCAGATCGACGACTAAGCTGTTGACTAGACATGCCATTATATTCCATTACGATTACTTAGATACTCCGTTTTAAGATTTGTACCGACCTAATTACAATTCACGCTCTTGTAAAGATGAAAATTAATTACTCATTTAAGCACACTCAAATACGAATGATTATAAAATAGGGGAAAAACAAGCTTTATCACTTGAAACACCACCTCGTCGCTCCTTAATTATTACGAATTTCAATCCCTCTACGATACGTCTAACATATACGGAAAGCAATTAAATATTCCAAAATTAACATATCCTATATTAATATATTTTCATCGACCCCGCTTCACCCCACCCACTCACCTCTTCCCCGTCCCACCACTCTCGTCTTCTTCGTCATTTCAATAATGCGACATCTGCACACACAGACTGCACGCACACAACGGCAAAAACCAAACGAACAAGAGTAAATGAAGTAGCGACTCAGTCATGCAAAACATCACGATTACGCTTCTCTCATTACGCTCCAATCGAAATCAATACAATACTCAATAATCTACCTTGTGCTGTATTTTTTTTTTTTTTTTTTTTTTTTTTCAAATTCTTCTTGATTTTTCATATAAATCCATCCCGATGATGTAACTTGCATTAGATATATTAAAGTACATGATCCGCGAAGATGTGTTAAGGTCCTTAAATGATAGATAATCTAATGTCTAATACGAATTATTTAATATCGTTATGCTCTCATCAATTACACTCCTCTCGTGTTTATTCATCGAAATTTTACTTAAATGGTCTCACATTTTCTAATTACTTAAAAATAATGTACATACTACTTTTAGTATCTTGACGTCTTTGATAACGATAACATTATAAATAATAATAATAACGCATTATTGTGAAAACATAATAGAAATGCGATAATACTTTTTGAAACCCAATGCACAGCTATTGACGTAATTAAATTTACTTGATTTCTTTAAACAAACCATAACATAATTTTTATTGTTAACTATTTCCAACATTGTACGTAAACTTAAGGTTATGAATTAATATCGCGAATCTTTTGAAATTTCACGATAAAATTATAAATATTATATTTATATCATAACAACGATAAAGAATATCTATCTTTGCAAAATGAGCACTTTTTTCATTTGTGTAAAACTTTTACTTTAAATATCCCGAGGCTTTTCATTTTTGTACGAAAAAAAATTTAATAGTAAATATATTTCAATTGACGCCTCGGCATTTGCCACAATCTACAAAACCTATATTTCCAGCATCATTTTTCGTTTTTTTTTTGTTTTTTTTTTTTTTTTTATTTATATATATATTTGTGAAAAAGAATTAAAACCCTTTGATATTGAATACTTGTCAAAAGCCAGAATATCAATAAGAATAAGAATATTAATGTTATCTACAAACCTTATGATACTTTTCATAAGTTATAGAATTACCGAGCATTCACTATGTTCATCGGATATCCATTATAAAATCATTATCATCATCAAAGGAGCTTAATAAATTATAATTATAATTAAAATATTACAGTCTTGGGAAGTGGTAGTTTTTTTTTTTTCTTTTTTTTTCTTTTTTTTTTCTTTTTTTTTCTTTTTTTTTTAATGAAAAAACAAGTCTTTAATGTCGTATAAACGAACAAATAGGGAATAACTTGCAGAAATTCAAATAAATATTAAATACCATATATTTAGCGATGATTTATGGGTTGCGTGAAGCTATTTAATTGATAAAAACTGCTCCCGTTTAACACAATTTTCATCTTTTACGATTAATCCGTCCAAAAAATCTTTTTGAAAGCGAATTAACTCTCTCCTTATTTCCATTTGATAAGCCCAAGCTTACAGCGACACACTGTACGTATACATGAAAACTGTGATGCCATTGGCTCGCGACACCCGACCCCATTAGGAACCTTGATCCCAGCTCAAAACGAAAATTCGCCATCCATAGATAGGCGACCGCAATTACGAGCTTCCGTCTCCCCTAACTGAGTCAAACTGAGTAAAAGTAGGAGAACAGGAGAAAGAGAAATGGACGGCGTTAGGAATCGTGGCAACGAGTTCGCACAAGCTCGTCAAGAGACATTCCAAAGTACGTTGAATACAAGAGAGAAACAGAGATGTAGAGTGAGAGAGAATGACGGTGATAATGGTGATGAGGGTACGGGGAAATTGGGGGGGGGGGAGATATAGTATGAGGAAGAAAGAGACAATAAATGCTGTCAGACTTCCTCCTTATAACTAACTTCCGTTCGTTGGTTCGTTCATTCGTCCGTTTGTTCGAACTCGCGACTAAAGTCTTTTCCTCCCCCCTTCTCTCTTTCTTATCACCGCGCCATCCAACTGCTTAATTTTTTGCTCTCCAGCTCATTTTCTTCAAGTTACTCACTCTCGTTCTGTTCCTTGCGATCGTGAGGCGCCAGGAGACAAACCCGGACGAGATATATTTTCCCTTCAGCACAACTCCTCGAGAGCGACATCCTGCCGATCGTTTCTTCCCTCTTAAACTCTTCCCCTCGCCCCCCCCCCGCCGTCAAACGTCTTTTGCCACCTTTTGCGTTCAGTTTCGTTTCGCTAAGTTCATTGTGCCGGATTTAGCTCAATAATCATGCCATTACGTTTTACTCATTATCGAGAGTAAACTTCGTTTTCTTGCTTCCCCGACCGAAATCAATGAAAGAATAAACGAAGGAAGAAGAGAACCTCAAACAGGAAGAATGAAATTTTCTTACGCGTGATAATTAATTCAACAGGCTACTTTAAACAATAATTAAATAACTGTGCTACATGACAGCATTGCGATCACATGTATTCTTATTATGTTTCTAAATTTTTATTCGTCTTTTTTACGTTTATCCGTTTTTATATAAATTAAAATCGCTGTGTCTCCCCTTTAAATAGTATAGATGAAATTTTAAATTTAGAAAAAAAAATACTGAATCGATATATTTTTATGCATACAATGTGGCATCGTATGGATAAAACAAAAGTAAAAAGAATTTTTTTATTATATATCACTTTAGATATCGTATTGTATAAAAGTGTATAAAAAAATTAATGATGTTAAGCAATAGTGCATTCTAAACATTTAAATCTCGATTGCATTCATTTCAAGTTCAGAATCTTGTTTTATTAATAAAATAATTTATTCAAAAACTTGGGGAAACATTTATTTCTTCATTCCAGCAGATTCATAGTACGAATCATTAAAATGAAACTTTCATACTTACGTGTCACATGAATTCTAAGACAATTCTTGATGGATCAATTTGAAACTTTTAAGTAATCTTTAAGTCACGTCTCTGCTAAGTATGAATAAGTATAAGTTAGAAAAATTCAGTTTAAGTATACTTTACTTTAGCAAATATTGATTAGAACTAATAAAAATACATTATACTCTATAAAAATACAAATAAAAATACTAAATACATTATTGTTTGTTAATAGTGAGCACCTACTTACCTTTCTTTTCAGCAATTTAACATTAAAAATTTTACAATTTAAATATGTAGCGTCACTTTTACGAGAATTCACGGTATATAAAATTATAAAATATTTAAATAATGAGAATTTTTTATATTTAAACTTTTATAAGCCATTATTAGCGTTTAAAAATTACGTACAATTATGCAGAAATGTATAATATTTTAGAATGTATAGTTAAAATTGTAGTATTTAAATTTTAAAGATAAAAATGTTATTGTCTTGATTATTAAAATTATAATGCTAGAATTATGTATTAAGATATTTTAAATAATTGTATTTAAATATTTTATAAGAATAGTGATAATTCCGATAATTTAAATACAGAAAAATGAGAATTGCCCGTTATTAAATTAAGTATATTGTAATGAGGATAAAACGTTTTATAAAATTTCATTGATATAAGTCTATGGGCATATATGAAAATACATTATTTGTTAATATAAAAGAATTATTCGATAAAAATAAATAGTTTATATTAATTTTATTCATACATTTTTCTTTCATAAAATTAACAAAATCATAAAAACAAAAAGATAATGTAGTTTTATAGTGGAATGTAAAATTTAAATGTTTACGCTACTTTCCGGTAATCGAAAGGAAATTAATTAAATCTAAAGAATTTACCTGTCTAGTACACGCTTTGAACAATTTATAATAACTACCAACACTATGAATATAGAGATATTATTATTATAAATTAATGGTTATAGTAATGAAACATAATGTCCGATTGTAATCGTACGGCTAAGCTGTTATTATAGCATTAACCTGAAAATAATACAGTTAGCTGAAAATTAAATTGTCACCATAAAACATCGCTTGTAAAACATCATCATCATCATCATTTTATAATTAAACATCATCATCAATATAATTATATATACACGAGGCCTTTATAAACTCAAAGAACGATCAATGATGAAAACTTGTCCATTGATATTTATCGAAGAAACTAAGTATTATAATTAATAAATACTAATGAAAAAAGTTACTACTCATATTGATTTATAATTAAAATATTGAAAAATAAGCCAAGTTAATCAAAAAGCTTATTTTATATAAGAAAACAGTATTATCAGCTGCTCTGCTAAGGACATTAAAAATGTTCTTCTATTAAAGGCTTAATAAATCTGTTTACGATAATAATAAAATCATAGTTCAATTAATTTAAATTACGTATTGAATCGTATATTCGTATTGTAAATATAAGCCTATTATAGCGACACTAAATTCATAACTTAAATCTTTAATTAAATATTGATGATCCCTTTAAATCTCTTAAATGAATATTAAACGTCCTTAATAGATATAAATTTGGTCATGCGAACATAACTGGATGTTTATTGTTATTATTAAGGACTTGTATCTATTTGCATTTTTATATTTTAAGCCTATGAGTTACAAATTAAATATATTAATGTAAATGATGGAAATCTGCATCCATTTTATTAGAGTAGAATTTTAGTCATTCCAAAGGGAATTCCATTTCAAAATAAGAAGAAGTAAATCACTCGACAACGAATGCATTTCGATTATAAAATATAAATCATTGAATTAAAATAAAAACAATTTTTAAACTAATTCTTAATTTATATTTATGAATGTATGTAGGTGTGTGTATGTAGGTGTTTGTGTGTGTGTGTGTGTGTGTGTGTGGGCGCGCGCGTGTTTGTGTGTTTGTGCGCGTGCGTGCGTGTGCGTGTGTGTGCATGTGATAAAGTACTTTTGCATTTCATTAGACATTAGGCTGTACTATATTTCTACTGCCGTGAGACTTTACATATATGAAATTAATACATTTTATATGATAAAATTAGATATTATAGTTATTTATCTCCATATGTATGAATAAATGATATCTAAAAAGAGATCATTTCCTTGAGGATGAATCGATGGAAACGTGGAGTGGGAATTCTATTATACAAGATTCAGCGTCCAATCACGTAGGGCTTATATTCTCCTCGAGTGTATCCATTATGTACCGTAACACCCATTACGTGTACATATTCTCCTATTTTTACTGGCAAAATGTTTTAGTCGTGTTACCGCGTTTGTTATTAAGAAAATTTGTTTGTAAATAATTATCAAATAGAATCTTTAAAGCGTAATGTGTGATCTAATAAATGTATTAAATTCTATACGGAACAACGGTTGACGTAATCCAGCAGAACATTCTTTATTGTATTTATGGTAAAATTCATAATATCTATGGAAGCATTTAATAATCATGTCAGTGTCTAATACAGTTTGTAATATAACTAATGAAATAAACCGTTAAAATTTAATAAATAATTAATGGCATTCCAGCCTGTGTTTGACATACTATTGAGGCCAACAATAAATAAACGTAACCCATAAAATAACCAAGTAACCTGTAATAATAGAGCAATGACGATATTATTAATACTCTTAATACTCGCGTAAAGGCTTTAAAAGAACTTTAATTTTCCATATAACAACGTCCTAGTTAGCATTTTCCGGACAATTTCCTCGTACTCGAGACTAAAATGCGCTGTAAGGTCCTTCCATTTGCACTTACCTGCCAACGAAGACAAAGCGACCCGTTAAATTCATTCTCTTTGACGCCTCCATAAGATGTCGCACCGTGAATCCTTCGCAGAAGCAGACGACGACATTAGCCGCGCGATCCTGATCCAGATTCGCGATTACGGCATCGAAAGCTGATTCGTCGGCGGTCGTAAGGATCGAGTCCTCGCGAGCCACGCAGACGCCGTTTTTCTCCGCCAGCTCGCGAAACGCCTGAATACCGCTGGTGCCGTAATTCTCTGTAATTCGAATGAACTTTCACTATAAAAATTATTATTACCCATCCTTCTCCATTATTTATCTGAGAATTATATTCATGTATCAACGATGAGATTGCAACTTATGGATAATGATGATATGCTTTTGTACAGATATATTTGAAAGTTTTTTTAGTTTTAGTTTTTGTTGCCATGCATCAGTTAATGAGCGTATGCGAAGTTCTCCAGGGGTACATTATTATAAACGAAAATAAATTAATTGATTATCAGCTTGAATGGAAATGATGAATTATCGATCTTGAAAATGAAGCTTTTCAATTCAAACGAATCTATGCTTTTTACTCAATTCTTATTAACTTTATCGAAGGTTGAATTAATATACCCACCCAAAGTAACGCTAAGAAAGATTGTAAAAACTAGAAATGCCGTAGACTTAATAACTTTAATTACCAATGTGTAATAAGTAATACAAGCTGTATATTTAATTATATGAGATAATTCATTCAAAACTATTCATTGCATTACCTCTGCCTTTAATCGACTTAATTATCATTGCTTTGTATAATATTAATTGTTTCAAAAAAAAAAAAAAAAAAAAAAAAAAAAAAAAAACCTACAGAAAGAAAAAACAATACTCTTTAATATTATTAATAGTATCTTTAATTATTCTCAAAACCTCGGGTCTGCAACAATTAAATATATGAAAGCTTAAATATCTACATTACATATCTGTCGGCATTCGAATGTTTCAACATTAATTCTTTCAATACTACATACGATTACGTATCCTTTCAAATTTAAGCACATTGACATTATCGTAGAAATGTCATATCTTCGTATAATTGAGTAATGTAGGTTATAATTTTAATAAACATTATCTTTGACAATGTTACGATTATCTTTATTTTTATGAAAGGAAAAATAATTCCCATGGAGAGACGCAAAATTTTACATATTCGTTTTTGTAAATCATTCGTAATTAATTCGATATTATATAACGCAATTGTTTAAATTTCCTCGAAAATAAATTTTATCCATAATTTCAATGCAAATAATATGTTAATGTCATCATTTTAAAAATGAAGATACTTAATTTCAATATCGAATATTCCTTATATACGATCTCATTTTAAAAGTAGTAGCACATTTTTTTTTTTTTTTTTTTTTTTAATAAACTCTAATCTACAATTTTCCTATAATGTTCATAATCCATAATGTTTCTTTAATTGAAAATAATAGGGAATAAAAATAAGTATCAATCTGGTTTTAATTTAATTATTTGGCAAGTTACAATTTTAGATAAATTCAAGCAGTTTAACAACAATCTCTTGTTATACATGCATACCTCGATAAAAAGCAGTGAACGTTTTATGCAGGTATTTTCAATTTTCTCGTATTACAGAGATAATTGGCATAGCTTTACAATAATAATTAATCTTAGGATAAAGGGAATATAAATTACGGAATATTTAAAAATATTGAGAAAACTCTTGTACGATTGGCCAAATATCTGTGAAGAAAAAAATCACTTATGAATGAATATGCTTGCTAAGCGTCAATCGAATAATAATTTTTAATCCAGTGGAAGTTTAAATTGTGAAAAATATTTTTCAAGCCACTGCATCTCCGCTAAAATATTTATAATCTACAACTTTTCATTATACGAGAATCCGAATATTTATCTGGAGAAATTCATCCAGCTTATCGGCTCCCAAAGAAAATATCAAATAATCTCGGGCAAGCGCAGTTTTCATGATGATCCTTGTAACTGCGGTTCCTTTAGGATTGCGATTAAATTGAAAAGGCAATTACGGCAACTAGCGATGGTGATTTTATCGGACCGGCAATGTTTATGCTGAAACTCCTGTGAATCCGGCCAATGTTGCAGCCTCGAAGCTGCGATCTTCGCAACTAATTCACTTCGCCAGGTCATTTCCGATGGAAACCCAAGGACTTCCGGCACTGGCGAACCATTTCTCTATGGTCCCGCGACTCTCGATATCTCCAGTATTTTTGCAATTTCTCGAAGCAGAAACTGGATTATCAGATTATGGACTTAAGCCTATGCATTCTTTAATGAAATCTTCGATTCTTCGATTACGCATATTTTCACAGTCAGATTTCAATTCGTCGAGTTTATTGGCTTAGTTATGTGGATAACGTTAGATACGGAGAATTGAAATAAAAAAAAAAAAAAAAAAAAAAAAAAAAAAAAAATGACAGCAATTTTAATCTTTTGCCTTTGCTGCTAAAGAATTATCGCTACTCGAATAGGCTAATTCAAAGCACTATATATCAAAATTATAATATTGAGATGCTTGAGATTATATCATTTTAGCTTATTACGATAGAAATATTGGCCGACATTAAGGATGGAAATTAAAGCTTTTGATTATCTATTATATGGTATATTTATTTAATAAGAAAGATTATGTTATGTATGAAATATCGATAGAATAGGTGTTGTTTTAGAATAATCATTCATTCGCGCATAAATGAAAGTAGCAAGTAAAAATTATTTTATTAATCTACTAAATATGGCATTACTCGGTATAAAGTACATAGTTTGAAAAAAAAATTTTTCGCCCAATATTCTCGTACAAATCAAACGAATGTAAAATCGCATTAATATAATTAATAATACGAAATTTAGTTTTAATATTATATTAATATTATGTATAGATATATATGTAAATATCATACGCTATTTTATTTCATATATACATGCGATAAATTAAAGTAAACGAAAAATTATTAGTAGTGTTTGAGATTGTAGTTGGATACATTTCTAAATAAACCTTACCATTATAATGTTAACGTTTAATGATTTTTTATTAAGTTTTATTAAACACGCGTGAAGATTTTTATCTAAAAAGTGGGGCTAACTTTTTTAAGGTGTGTTATAGATTATCAGATCTGACTCATTTAATAGAATAATAGGGTCGTGGCTTATTTATCTAGACAAACTTGATTAAATGGCAGACTTATCAGTTATATCGCCTTATATCGCCATGAGGACTGCGACTTATTGTCTTCGTCATTATAATGATCCAACAATTTTTGATTATAAAATACGTAAAAAAGCCATTACTTTGGAGCTCGAGGAAACTAGATAGCGTTAATGGATTTTTGGCTATCGAATAATAGTGATATTACGGTGTACTAGAACTTTCTCCCCATCTCAACAATGCAAGTGGCATGCACGATTGTAATCAAAGTTAAAGAGCTCACAATATTTATGTTGTATAAAGCAAGACGCCAACAACTGTCAAAACTTTTATAATACCCGTATGTTGAAGTTCAACAACTTATTTTTCACATTATATTACCAAGATAATTTATAGATTAATATAAATTTATTATATACGTACAAACACTTAATGTACATATTAATTATAAATATTTTAAAATTAAAGACACGTGTTTTTACAGGTAATTTTGTGTAAGATTTTATTTGTCAATAAGGTGGAAGAATTGTTTATCTCGAATTTTATATAAATATGAAATTAGCAAGTATATATGAAAATAATAATCAAGCATTTAGTGATGATTTTTTTTTAAAGGAGATATACTTGATTGATGCATTCTTTAAGTATTCAAATATTATTTTAATCAATGCTTCTTTAAATCTCTTTAAATTGTAATGAAAAAAAATATATAATAAATGTATATAAATATTTTACGCGATAAGCTGCTGTAATTTTTATAGAAATATTACGAATAGAAATATTGTTTAATAATTTTCGTCTTTTTTAATTTAAGGAACAATATTTCGATACTTTTCATCCGACCTAATATTATGTATGCGAATGCGTTAAAAATCTCTCTTACACGGTGAACTTTGTAGTAACGAGCTGCCCTATTTATATTACATCAATGTCATCTTACCGACAATTTTCCACCGACAGTTATTACACTTTATTCCCTATATAGTTAAGTCAATAGAGACACAGAGTTTGTTCGATGCTTGTGCATAGTGTGAGAAAAGCAATGTGAAACATTGATAAGACGCTTATCTGGTTCGATATTACTTAGCCTGTATTATCATATTCTGCGTACGCGAAGGAAAATATAGTCGATTCCCAATTGGTTTTGATGCGTAAATTTAATGTTACTTAATACAAGACTTAACTCCCTCGTGCGTGAAGAAGGTGCGATGAGACGATCGAGATTCGAAAATTTATGATAAAGTATCGATAGATGATGAGTCCCTAGTCCTTTATCGAAGGATCTTTATATTCTTCGTACAACGATTATCGGAAATAAGAGGCAGATTATAATAATGATTCGATAAATTATACGCAGCGGATTTATTACTTTCGCATCTGAATTAGTACATGAATTTACTGTTGATGTAAGACATTTTAACTTGAAACATTGAAATGGAAAATATTATAATATCATAAAACGACATTTTTATCCTTAATTGTCTTCCCTTAATTATAATTCCCTTATTATAATACCCTTAATTAAAGGATATTTTAATAATTAATGAAAATTGTTGTAAAAGAATAGAAAATAAAATCATCGATCGTTCGGATATGTGTCGATAAATCGTTAAGATAATTAAAAATAAGGAACCTTTCGATATAAATATAGAAGCTATGGTAAGCGTTGAGTGGAAGGAAGCGATTCAAGATTTGATTATGCGATCTAAAGAATCCATTAGCCGTCTCGTATGAGGATAAATTTTATACGCTAACGTTATATCTGAGATTGTCGGTAAGAAAATTCAAATATACAAAATCCAATAGAAGAAACTAGAATTGAAAACGTAACTGTGGAAATTCCCAGTTGCTGACTTATTTCACACAACTAGTATAACGGATAGACACTGGCGAGACATCTTCTAAATTGAAAATGGTTTGCTCTCTCTCTCTCTCTCTCTCTCTCTCTCTCTCTCTCTCTCTCGGATAAATCGTCCACGCGATTGATGAAATTCCTCATTATTAACAGTACAAAGTTCAAGACAATTTGATATTTATAACCCAGCCGAGGTATTGTCGTGTAGCTCAGCGCCA